TTTATTTATTTATATGTGGTATTGAGAATTGAACCCAGTACCTCACATGTTAGGCAAGTGCTCTACCACTGAGTCACAGACCCAGCCCCAACTTGTACTATTTTTAATGCTAATATATTTGTTGATCCTTTTTTAGTAAAAGAAAGTAATCCAAATTAGGCTAATTCCCAGAATGATAGTAAAGGACCAAAACAATTGATATTTGATAACCTAATTCTCTTCACACAAATCTGAGTTTATAAATTACAGGAAATTTAAACCATTTTGGTTTTGGTTTTCAAAAAAAGTTGCTGCTTGAAAACCGAACTAGGTGAATGTATTTTACCTTGAGGTTGTTAGGTATAGTATCTGGGTAGTTTTAAACAAGCTCTAATACAGATGGTGACTTCAGATAAGAAATTTCTAAGTTTTCAAGTGAGAAAAAGAAATGTTCTTCCATATCCTAAGGTTAGTGAACTAAATTTGGAAGCCAGATACATCTAGTTGCTTGTTAACTTTATATCATGACCTTATCTATCTCATTGATGCAACAGAGAGAGAAGGAAGAATTGCAGGTGCAAAATTGGACCAAAGTATTAAAAGGTAGAGTAAGGAGTCTTATATAAGCCCAACCACGTGGTGGCTGTGGTACTTTACAGTATTAACAGCGTGTTAGTTATTGTTGTAGAACAGTGCTCACATTTAATGGTATAATATCTCAAACTTCCTTTGGGTTTGAAATTCAGGAGTATCTGCTGGATTCTTCTGGCTGTGGGTCTTATGAAGGTCTTAAGCTTTTCACTTTTCTGGGCTGGAAAGGTGCTCTTAACCTTGTTAGTGTCTCAGCCTTTCCATAGCATCTAAGCTCAGAAGCCTCAGAACACCTTGCCTTGGTGGGCCTTTCAGGGCTCTGGTGGAATGAAGTTGAAGCTGACAATTTTAGGACTTGACCTTCAAGGTCACCTTAACACAACTTCCATCATACTCTAGGTTATAAGAAACCAGATTTGGGGGCTGGGGATGTGGCTCAAGTGGTAGCATGCTCGCCTGGCATGCCTGAGGTCCGGAGTTCGATCCTCAGCACCACATACAAACAAAGATGTTGTGTCCACTGAAAACTAAAATAAATAAATAACACCCTCTCTCTCTAAAAATAAATAACTAAATAAATAAATAATAAAAAAGAATCCAGATTTAAGGGAAAATAAGGGTAGACTCTGTTGCTGGGAGGAATGTTAGCCACAAGTTGGAATTAGAAATAACATTGATGTAGCAACCCCAAAATGAATGGTGGACCTAAAAGCTATTCCAGTTACAGTTCAGCTACCTTCCCCACCATGAGGAATTTCCACTGCCAGAATTGCAGGATTCAAGTATTGTTTTCAAGAGATAACAGGTTTTATTTTTGGATATTTGCTTGCTCTCTATAATTAGATGTATTTTCAAGTCATGAATGATAAGTATAAGCCATTTTATCCTCAAAATCCAAGTAAAATTTTGCGAGTTCTCATTCATTTCAGATTTAAAGTTTATTAATTATAAAAATACACGTTCTAATAAGGAACTTTTAATAGCATACATATTGGTGTTTTTTTTAACATTTAATAAAATTTCTAA